TTTTTTGTTCTCCAGACCTGCACAATTCTGCCTCTGGAGATAAAAGCTGAGGAATGCAGTGTGGTTTCTTGTGGGGCTTCAATTGCAGGAATGCTGGCAATTGAGCATGAGTCGGTGACTTTTAGAACTCTAAAAGCAGGGAAATGCAGCCTGCAGAGATTCCCCAGCCCTGTGCTCTGCTCCTTTCTGCTCCCCAGGCTGTCCCTGGGCAGAGGTGCCCGAGGCTCTCAGATGTGACCAATGCCCTGTGGGACTGCCCAGGGCAGGAAAATACAGAGCAGGGCATCCACCCTGTCCTCTGGCACTGCAGGGATTGTCCAGCTCCTGATTTGTCAATCTGGGACCCCATAGACAGGGACTGATTTGGGATCTCTTCTCCTGTGGATCCCAGCAGCGTTCCCCTCCCCGGCCACAAAGTGTGTGGGGCTGTGGGACTGGAACTGCACTCTAACACAGCATTTTAATGTTCAAATGTGCTTTCAAAAGCGAGATATACTGCTATTTCAGTCACCTGGGTAATGTCGAGTTTTTGTTACTTCTTCCAGTGTACTTCTGTACCACTGTATCTTCTTTTTGTTATTGTTTTTGTTYTGTTGCAGTTATGTCCTTTTTTTGGTCACAATTATAAGTTGCTTTTAAAGGAAATGATTCTTCTTTTGCCCCAATGATTAGATAAACATGGGAGGGAGCAGGGATAATCTAAACTAATTTCATGTGCTGGATACAGAAAATAATAACTGGGAATGACTGGGAATAACTGGGACAGTGAAAATCTCCTCTGGCATCTCTGTTACTCATTTTCCTGATTGGCATTGGGCTCATACATTTGATAACCTAACTGAAAAATGAAAAAATAGATTAAAAATTGAAATAAAAAAAAAGGGAAAGCGTGTTCTACCCCCTGAGTAAATGTGTGTGTTAGCAGTGATTTAGGGCAGAGTGGAGAGCATTGTAGGAGTGGAGATACACACTGAGTTATTGGYTTATCACTTTTGTCTGGGGAACAATGGTGTGTGATTAATGCTTTGTCACTGAGTGAAGTTCTGAATTTGATGCTTGGTTATGCTCATTTGTTTGTACAAAATYTGTCAGAAATCTAGATTGTGCCCCAAAATTGATTTGTGACTTGAATCAAAAGGCTGTAATGACAGAGCTGTGTGGAAACAGCCAGAGAAGGGGATGGTGACTGTCCCGAGATCAGGGGGTCACAGACACCACCAAACTGCTGCTGATAACAGTGAATTCATCAGGAGGTTTGAGGTGATTTCAGGCAGATTCGTGTTTGTGTCTGCTCGGTGTCAGCTTTGCTCCTTCAGGCATTTTTCATCACCCCAAACTCCTCTGGCTTCGCTCTGTTCTGCCATTTCCAGGCACTGATTCCCCTGGAGTATCCGGGAATTGCAGCTTTTGGTGAGATCAGTTGAATGGGCTCAGCATKGTAAAGACTGCAACCAAACAACCAGCAAGGCCCTGGTTAAAGGGTAAATTAATACCAGATAGACCCCAGAGGATCATAGATTTTGCAGACAGGGTGGGAACTGAAGGTTATTGTTATACTGAACCCACTGGCATCAACCTCAGTATTGGAGAGAATCTGAAAGGAGTGAGAAGCAGCATGTAGGAAATCCAAGCTTATAAAAAGCAATTTTTTTGTTACATAATCTGTTACCTCATATCAATTGAGAAAATCTGTGATGTTATTACAGAAGTTTAAAGCTCCTTCAAATGCTCCTGCAGCTTATCCCAGCTCCAATCKGAGTATGCTTTTAGCAGATTTCCTTCACTACTTGCTTGTTTGGGCTTTAAATCTCTCTCTGGATGGTTTTGCTTTGGTGTGTTTCAAAAGCAGGGTAGGAAGGGTTGCATGTTCTTCTGACTCATTGTCAAAGCATTCCTTTTGGAGTTCATTAGTGTGGCAAGTGAAGGGTAACTGAAACAATTTAGCGTTTTATTTCAGGTTCTTCAGCCACTGAACTGCCTGTCCAGGCTGCTGGCAGAGCTGCTACCTGCAGCTTTGGGTTTAGACAGCCCAAAGGAGCTGAGAGCGTGGGGAGGTTCCACTGGGGCTGCACTTGGGGCTCAAGGGACCCTCCAGACCCCGAGGATGGTGTTAAACAGCTCCAAACCTCCCTGGCCATCGTGTCCTGGTGTCCATCCACCCTGTCCTGGTGTCCCTGGTGCCATCCACCCTGTCCTGGTGTCCCTGGTGTCCATCCACCCTGTCCTGGTGCCATCCACCCTGTCCTGGTGTCCATCCACCCTGTCCTGGTGTCCATCCACCCTGTCCTGGTGCCCATCCACCCTGTCCTGGTGCCCCTGGTGTCCATCCACCCTGTCCTGGTGCCCCTGGTGTCCATCCACCCTGTCCTGGTGTCCATCCACCCTGTCCTGGTGTCCATCCACCCTGTCCTGGTGTCCATCCACCCTGTCCTGGTGTCCATCCACCCTGTCCTGGTGCTCATACACCCTGTCCTGGTGTTCATCCACCCTGTCCTGGTGCTCATCCACCCTGTCCTGGTGTCCATCCACCCTGTCCTGGTGCTCATACACCCTGTCCTGGTGNCTGTCCTGGTGTTCATCCACCCTGTCCTGGTGCTCATCCACCCTGTCCTGGTGTCCATCCACCCTGTCCTGGTGCTCATACACCCTGTCCTGGTGCCCATCCACCCTGTCCTGGTGCTCATCCACCTCTCGATAGGCAAGTGATTCATGGGCTGCAATTTCAGCTCTTTCACTCTGTGCTCATTTCCCCTCCTGTCCCTGAGCACCTGGACGAGCCTGGCTCTGTCCCCTTTKCACCCTCCTCTTTCTCAGGTGATTTTCTTGCTTTTATTTCTTTGCTGTTATTTCTTGCTTTGCCTGCACTCCATGAGAAGTCACAGCATTGTTCARTGCATTGCAAAGAACAAAGTATAAYTGTTATTTTAGCAAGAAGYGGGGTGAGCACAGCATCATTCAGAAACACAGCTCTCTGAGAACCTTAGAGCATGGGGAGTGCTGGATTTCTGAACAAATATCTTCTATAAGCACAAACCTGAAAAATTAATAATCTGCACACACAGCCAATGAAATGTAGTAAAGGTGGAGAAAATTACAAGCATTTTCATGTCTTTGTATGAGAGTACTGTAGTGTAAGAAACCAACTGAAAAATGGCTACAATGCTTGTTCCTTAGGGGAATGCAGAGTTCTGTTAGTGCTTGACAAATCCGTTACAAAAAGAGCTGGCATGCCAACAAAAAGAAGACATCATTAATCCTGTTGAGACAGCGTGAAAGCAGATGAGCACAGAACTGCTCCTGACAGCACAGGGCAATGGGGCCACGCTGGCTCAGGGTGCTGGGGTTGGGTCACTGCCCATGGCCAGGTACGGGATGGGGTGTGTTTAACTGAGGTACCAACAGAGTCAGGAGCACGGCAGGAAAGGGTTTTTGGGTGAACCCCAAGAAGTTTTGTCAGGAAATGTAACAAACCCTACAAGAAGTGGAGTGGGGAGCGGGGCCCTGTCCTGCTCTGTGGGGCGGCTGCTGCTGCTCCCCAGCACGGAGTGGGGTGTCCGGGGAGCGGGAACTGGAGGGTCTAAACAGGGTCCTGAGGGTNTTTGCCTGCACTCCATGAGAAGTCACAGCATTGTTCAATGCATTGCAAAGAACAAAGTATAACTGTTATTTTAGCAAGAAGTGGGGTGAGCACAGCATCATTCAGAAACACAGCTCTCTGAGAACCTTAGAGCATGGGGAGTGCTGGATTTCTGAACAAATATCTTCTATAAGCACAAACCTGAAAAATTAATAATCTGCACACACAGCCAATGAAATGTAGTAAAGGTGGAGAAAATTACAAGCATTTTCATGTCTTTGTATGAGAGTACTGTAGTGTAAGAAACCAACTGAAAAATGGCTACAATGCTTGTTCCTTAGGGGAATGCAGAGTTCTGTTAGTGCTTGACAAATCCGTTACAAAAAGAGCTGGCATGCCAACAAAAAGAAGACATCATTAATCCTGTTGAGACAGCGTGAAAGCAGATGAGCACAGAACTGCTCCTGACAGCACAGGGCAATGGGGCCACGCTGGCTCAGGGTGCTGGGGTTGGGTCACTGCCCATGGCCAGGTACGGGATGGGGTGTGTTTAACTGAGGTACCAACAGAGTCAGGAGCACGGCAGGAAAGGGTTTTTGGGTGAACCCCAAGAAGTTTTGTCAGGAAATGTAACAAACCCTACAAGAAGTGGAGTGGGGAGCGGGGCCCTGTCCTGCTCTGTGGGGCGGCTGCTGCTGCTCCCCAGCACGGAGTGGGGTGTCCGGGGAGCGGGAACTGGAGGGTCTAAACAGGGTCCTGAGGGTCTAAACAGGGTCCTGAGGGTGTGAGCAGGGTCCTGAGGGTCTAAACAGGGTCCTGAGGGTCTAAACAGGGTCCTGAGGGGCTGAGCAGGGTCCTGAGGGTGTGAGCAGGGTCCTGAGGGTCTAAACAGGGTCCTGAGGGTGTGAGCAGGGTCCCAGCTCTGAGCAGGGTCCTGAGGGGCTGAGCAGGGTCCTGAGGGTCTAAACAGGGTCTGAGCTCTGAGCAGGGTCCCCAGGTCTGAGCAGGGTCCCCTGGGTGCCCCCATCTCTCAGCTCCAGAAGATGAAGCTGTCCCTGCAGCCTGGCTGGAAGGACGATGCTGCTGCACGAGTGTGAAAGGCTCAGAATGGACTCTGCCCTTGGGGACTCTTGGTCTCCATCCCTTCATCGCTTCTCAGTGCTGAAGGAAGATCTGAATTACTGGGATGGTTTAGCAACTTTGCCTAAAGCCTTTTGTATGTGATTTTATTGTGTGTTGTGCCATCAGTTGGGAACTGCACATGAACAAGCASAAAGGTGGTGCTTGCTACACGATTGTGCTGCTGGCAAGATTATAAATCTTACTCTGTAAGAGGATTACATGGGTTTCCTTCTCAGCCCCAGCTTGCAGGATCAGTGTTACACAGTCTGCTCAGGACTGTCTCTCCAACCCTTTCTTCCAGGTTCTGCAGTGGAARGCACAGCAGGAAGAAGCTGCTAAACTAGAAGCTGCAGTGGCTGCCAGAAGGAAAGAAAAGGAAGATGAGAGAGAAAGGCTACAGAGAGAACAGGAAACGATTCGTAGAGCTCAGGATAAAGATAAAGTATGAGAAACTTTTATACAATTTTGCATATRTGAATGTGTGCCATTGCTTCTAAAATCTTTATCTGATCTCAGACACATGAAGTATTACATAGTGATATAGAGGTGGACAAATGGTTAGGCAGGTCTTGCTCCTGTCCATTTTAGCTCTAAAGCTGTCTGCTCTGACACGCCAGTTACATTACTATTGCATTTATTGAAAAAAGAGCCTGGACAAGTGACCGTGTGCTTGTGTCCATGTCACAGATGAGCACAGAGCTGGGTTTGACTGCACAGAGCTGGGTTTGACTGCACAGAGCTGGGTTTGACTGCACAGAGCTGGGTTTAACTGCACAGAGCTG